TGGACGACCACACACAGTCAAGGTGGGGCGGGTCAGGCAGAGACGAGGCTCCTGAGGGAACAGGCGCGCCATGGGCCGATCGCGCTGCCTGGCTTGCTTTCTTCGGGGTGTCCCCCCCCTCCTCTCCCCCTCTTGTTGCTATTGCTTGTTCATGTCATCGTGAACGTCATGTCGCTGAGCATCATGTCGCACCCGTTCGGCGCAGCCGGTGGAGCCCAGCCGTGGCTCTCACTCTCTTCCCTGCCTGCTAGCCGCGGCGCGCCGCACACCAAGCGTCTGTGCGAGCAACCAGGCCGCCCCTCCGCATTGGCCCCATCCTCACCTGGCACGCCCCTCAACCACCCGGCCCCCCGTCGGCGCCGCCAGGTGGCTGACCGCGTTTGGTGACGCGGGCGACGCGCTGGTGGGGGCCACGGCGGAGCAGGTCAACGCCATGAGCGTGGACGACCCCGCCTTCTCCGCCCTGATCAACGTGAGCCCTGGTTCATGGGGACGCAGGGTGGCAGGAGCGGGTGAAAGGGGAGATGGAATGGGCGGGCGATGAGGGGCAGCCGCTGCGGGACGGGCTGGACGCGGGCCCGTCCGAGCGCACGCTGATTGGGGGCCACGGCATTCCTGGGGCCGCCGGATGAGGTCGGACGGGGCCCTGCGTGCCCCTGCCGCCCAGTCCCTTGCCCAACCCGCCCGCCGCCTCTCCGTTGGACATCCTGTTGCGTCGGGCGCCCGCCACACCCCGCCATGTGCCATTGACACCTGAAATTTCCAGCACTTCTGGCACTACCACCGCCCCGCAGGACCGCAACTTCCGGTCGTACAACTTCAGGCTCAAGGCGGCGGAGGACACCTACAACGGGGACACACGCTGCAAGGTGCGCGCGCACGCCGGCCGCCGGTGTTTGCAGGGAGCGGGGCGTGCTGTCCCCCGCAGCGCCCACATCGCCCTCCTCCCCGCTCCAGGCCCGCTTAACCCCACCATCCCCGTCTTGCCTATTGTTGGACCTGACATACCACCTCATGGCCCCCTCCACCACCCTTTCTCAACACAGACACACACACACACACACACACATGCGTGTACACAATCGCACAACCGCACAACCGCACAATCCTTCGTGCATGCCTCCGCAGGTCTCCATCGTGCGCGTGGCGCCGCTGGACTACCCCGCAGAGTCCCGCGCCCTCATAGACCAGATAGCAAAGCTCTCGGCCGGCCAGCCCATATACCAACCGCTAGCGCAGGGCGGCGGCGCGTACAACGCGGCGGCCCGTGGCGGGGGCGGGTGGACCCAGGGCACTCAGCAGCAGCAGCAGCAGCCGGCCCAGGGAGGCTACCAGCAGCAGGTGCCGCAGCAGGCCCAAGGGGGGCAGCAGTGGAACGGCGGCGGCGGCAACAGGGGCGGATACAACCAGGGCGGCGGCGGCGGTGGGTGGCAGCAGAACGGCGGCGGTGGCGGTGGTGGCGGCGGCGGGTGGCAGCAGAATGGCGGCGGCGGCGGCGGGTGGCAGGGCAACGGCGCTGCTGCTGGTGGTTGGCAGCAGAACGGCGGTGGTGGCGGCGGCGGCGGCGGGGGTGGCCAGCCGCAGTGGCAGCAGCAACAGCAGCAGCAGCAGCAGCAGCAGGGCCAGCAGGCCTTTGCGGCGGGCTGGCTGTGAGAGGGTGTCTGCAGCTCCTCCTTATGATGTAACCCCGCATGATTCCTCCCGCCTTGCATACACACCCTCTGCTAGTGATCGGCGGCGCGAGCATTGCCGCGAGCCACTTGCTTCGAGAGGCTTCAGCGGCACGATTGCACCCCTTGGTGCGCACCTCGCCACAGCCATCGCCGGGGCAAGGGGCTCTTAGCGCGTAGCGAGGCACGCGCGCCTTACAAGGCTCGGCCTGCTCGTGTTGCACCCCATGCACTGCGACAACCTTGGCATGATGCATTTCGCACATCCATAAGGGATCAGTGGGAATCCCTGTCATCACGAGCGTCCCTCTGCCTGCATGCAATACATGCGGGCCCCCAGCACGCATCTCCCGCACGAGGCCGTGCCGTCGCTCCGCGGCTTACACCGCGCGGCTAAAGCGCCCGTCCACATCCCATACGCATTGATGTAAAGCTTTGAAACGCGACGACTGGGTGCATGCAGAGGCCTTTGGTGATCTTACGATGCTTGCATGTTTGCTAAGCTTGAGCTGGCTTGCGGAGTGGGGTGGCCGACGCTGACCGTGACGAGAGTAAGCCTGCTAGACTTCCAACACGACCCTGAAATTTACATAGACTTCAGCAATCGACGCCGACGCAGGACGTTGTCGTGCAGCAGCAGGGGCAACAACGGCAGCCAGCACAGCGGCATGGCTGGCGCGCCCGCTTCAGGCGCGGGTGTATGGGCACCCGCTTCTGGGACGCGCGGTCGAAGAGTAATGAGCAGCTGATAACTGAGTTTATGCAAACAACCTGTATACCGCATATTCTCCCCAGATTGCCACACTCAGATCGCGAACCCCACTCTCTCGCCTACAAAGGGGTGAGCGTGGATCGTAACCGTGATAACTAAGGAGATTCAAGTCACGCGAAGCCATCTTAACAATTCTGCAGCTACAGGAACAGCAAGACATACGGTACTCAAGCGGTCAAACTTGTCGCACAGACTGAGACTAGGGACGGCGCAGAGCCGCTGCTGAGCAGCAGCACCAGCCCCGCTTATATCACGTCATGGACAGCGCCGATAACGCAATGAGCTGCAATGCTCAACCTGACAGCAACAGCTCAGGCGTCACAGCTGCAGCTGAGGAGCAGGATACTGCAGGGCGAGGCGATGCAGGGCTGGAGAACGCGGCAGGCACCTGCGTCCCTTGTCCCACAGACCCGGCCGACACATCCTGCTGCCCCGAAGAACAGCTTCAGGAGTTGAAGCCCAGCCCATATCAACACAGGACAAGTGAGCCGCCACCCCACTTGCCTGAGCAGGCTGGCCCGGCACTGCCGGGCGCAAGGCATTCTCCCACGCGGCAGCCAAGGCAACAAGAGACAGCACGTCTCATACGCGCCGCCCTTCTCATGCCCCTTCTCCCCTCCTATCCGCAGACATCCGCGGCTACCTCCAAGAATCAGGCCTCGCCCCCCTGCTACAGGAGGCGCTGGAGGCGCTCTGCGCCGCGGCAGAGGCTGACCGCCTGCGCCTCGCGTCCGGCGCGGGCCTGGAGGAGGGCGGCTTCAGGCCGCGAGGGTGGCGGCCGTTTTCGGCGCTGAGGTTCCTGGGGAACTACTTGGCAGAGCGAAGCGGCGGCGGTGGGGGTGGCGGCGGCGGCATGGGGGTGCCAGTGGGGAAGTGATGCATGAGGTTGGGGTGCTCATGCCACGCAGCTGGGGGCGGCGGGGACGAGACGCACGGGCATACGTAGGCAGGCTGTGACCTGCCTTGCACTGCTCGTGAAGCCAGCTGTCAGTGATACGCGGCCTGAATTCACCTGCATGTATGTTGCTGTGTGCATGCGGCATCAACACAAGTTTGGGGATTCTGCGGTGCCGCTGGCTGCAGCATCGCTGTGGTGAGCAGAGCTTCGACGGTTACAATGAGGCGACGTACACAGTGGCCGAGGTGTGTGGTACAGCAATGTGCAAACTGGAGATTGCACACAGCGCATGTGAGATCAGCACATGCAGGATTAGCGCATGCAAGTTCAGTGCATGCAAGATCAGCACATGCGAGATCAGCACATGCAAGTTCAGCACTGCAAGATTAAGGGATGCAAGATCAGCCATGCTAACAAGACCCTTGCAGTCATTGAGGGTACACAGGGGCCGCGCATGCACCATGCGCTGCTTTGTGATTCATCAAATGCTGCTGTCACGCAGTCACTTCATCAGCATGTGGAAATTGTTTGGCCATGATGCGCTTAGCGTGCCGCTGGGTTGTACCTTCGCTACAGGCCCCTGCCTTTGGTGTCGAGCTGCTCACTCGGCTGCCTCAGCGTCGTCGGTGCCGCCGAATGCCTTGCGGGCCGCGGCGAGGGCCTGGGCCGGGAGTTGGCAACAGTTGCAACGGGAGCCGATCGCTGGGTGCTAGTGAGGGCAGGGTGGGGGCCATGCTTGACCAATGCACTCAGACGAATTTTGAGTGTGGACAGCTGGGGCTTTCAGAGAGGCTGCAGTTTGGTGTAGGCTGGGGTCAACGAAAGCCCACCTCAGCCGCGGCGTCCTCGGCAGCGGCCTGCAGGGAGCTGAGGCCCTCTGCGCCGGCCTCCTGCGCCGCGTCCAGGCCGTCTGTGGCGGCGTCCTGGGCGTCCTCGGCGGCGCCCGCCGCCGTGTCGTACGCGCCCTCGGCCAGCTCCTGGGCCTGGGGTGAGGGGCAGAGCAACGGTGGGTCGGCTTTGGCGCCATGTCATGGCAGGGTTTGGTTGGGTGTGTGAGTCCAAACCGCTGACAGGGAAGGTAGCAGGCCAGCCAACATGGGCTTTGCGGTAGAGGAGGATCCTGTTGGGTCCTGCTTTCTCTGAGACTTGTTGATGAGCTCGTTTGGAATCTGCCCCAACCAGACTGAAATGGGAAGCTGTGAAGGCATGCAGGAGCGATGCACATCCCACGCATGCCAAGGGCAGGCCCATGGTAGCCCCTCTCAGGTCACCTCAGCGGCGGCGTCGCCGGCGGTCTCCTGCAGCGAGTCCAGGCCTGCCTGAAGGCGGTCCGCCAGGTCGTCGACCGCGCCCTCGGCCTCGCCCTCAGCCTCGGCCTCAGCCTCGCCCCCCTCAGCCTCGGCCTCAGCCTCGCCCCCCTCCGCCTCAGCCTCGGCCTCAGCCTCAGGCTCGGCCTCAGCCTCAGGCTCGGCCTCAGCCTCAGCCTC